TATATATATATATATTATTTTGGTTGAGATGACTTGGGTAGAGGCGGATGCTAGAAGATCCTAGGAGTGTACCAAATGATACCGAAACTAGTAGGGAAAAGAGTGAAATCACAAAAGCAAACATTCATTAATATTAACATATGGTTACAACATGACTCGAACCGAAATAACAACACAAAACATAAAAAAAGCACCAACGAACACTCCTAAATGTATCCCAATAGGTGGTGGAGGTCGACTAGAGATATAAGAATGATTTGGAGGGATGAAGAGAGCTACGGGAGGCGGGTGGTAGTGAAAGGAAGATGTGGACTTTAAGGATAACAATGGGAAAGGGTTGTAGGTGGTTGGTAACGACAATGGGGTGATTGGGAGGAGCTTGAAAGGAGTTAGGAAGGCTGTACAACATAACTTAGGAAGAGGAAATAACTGAGGGTAGGGGTCGAAGGGAGAGTTCGACGACTGAAGAGTGGGGAAGAGAAGGTTTTGGGAAGGTAAGAGGGATGATACAAATACCACCTCGGATAGGATACAATCAGAGCACCACCACCTCCTCGAATACAACCCATAAGGGGAAAAAAACTCCACACAAGAGACCAGAAGACAACTCTACTAGCACTGCCTCATACGCACACTGGGGAAAACTATTTAAAGCCTCCTACTTCTACACAAAAGGAAGGGGAGTGGGATTGTAAGAAGAATCCAGAAGAAAGATCTTTTTAGAAGAAGACAAGTGTCGAAGGTGTGTGAAGTAGCCCTGGATCGTGAGAGTTCGCGATCCGCTTCCTGTTCCCACGCGCGGGATTGCAATTCCGCCCCTGTTGTCCTGCGATCCCGTACCGCTGTCCCATGAAGCTTCGCGTGCCTTCTGTCCCGCGAAAACGAAGCGCCTGCATTGGCTCTTTCAGCGCACGCAATAGGGCACTGCCTAGCGCCCGCGCCAATAAGCCTGAGACTGAAGAAAATAATTCATTTGAAGAAGCAAATGATCTAAATTAGAGAACCGTGATCTAAGAGGATCTATTAATGAATATTATCATATCATATATTTGAAATAATTATCAAGTTAAGAAAGGATGCTGAATGGCCAATGGAGGTCTAGTGACCTAAATTGGGAGGCTTGAAAGCTAGATTCTTTGTTGTTGATCCAATGTTCAACAAGTTAAGGATTAAATTTAAATTTTGGATGAGTTTATGATTTGAATTTTAAATAAGATTCTGTTGGGGAGATTGTTTATGACTTAGTGAAGTTGGGTGAGAGAAGATTTAAATTAGTTGTTGATCTATTAAGCGTTAAAATAGGCATAATTTTTGCAATGAAGTCATCCAAAAATATCTCTAATACTTTTTTTACTTTGTCGATTCTCTTTCCTCCTAGCCATAGGCCTCATTTAGGGCATCAAAAAGCTGCCTCTTGCTTCTTATCCAATGTCGGACCATACCTACTGTAGTCCCTCCTCTAGTTTGAAGACATTGGAGAATCTTCTACAGTCGTTGGCTCGTAGTTTAGATGTTGTCCTTCAACAATTAAGTGAATATTTGCTATTTTCAATCATTATCTGTATGATAAAGAGAAATTTTTTATTTATTTGTTCTCATTGATAAATGTCATTATGAAATCCACCAATAACAGTTAATGATTTACATTTTAAGCAAACTTAGGTTTAGGACAGCAACTTGCTTATCTTTTTTTATCTGGAAGGAAAATCTTAATTCCTTTAAGGAATACATTGGAAAACTGATTTTCTCATCCTTTGCAATTCACTCCCTTTCCAAAATTGTTCTAAGCACATAATTTCGGTTCACATGATAGGAGAAATTAATTGGCTCTCTTAAAAGGGGGCTAGCTTTTGCTTGTTTGGAATTTTAAGCTTCACCATTTTCTCTAGATAGTCAATAACAACACCTTTATGGTGCTAGTCTTTCATGAGTATGAAATCAGACTCAGTCATAAGGAATACAATCAATGAAGATGTGAATATGTTTTGCTTGAGATGCAATTTTTCATGCACAATAAAAGAAATTGGAACATTAAGCCCCATTAGCATCTAGATGGTCTAGTCACCACTCAAAGGAACATACCCTTTTCCTTGGCTTTTTATATGATGAATCTGATACGTAACTCCTAAATATCAATTGTTATTATAGGGTAATTGAGAAAGTACAATAAACTTTTCGCAGGGTGTCTCTTTTTTGCCTCTTTACCAGTTCTCTTCAGATTCAAGATTTGATTGATCTGTCATTGTGGCTGGTTGAGCTCTTTTGCCAAATCGCTTACAATTGCCTACACTATTGGTTGAGTCAGGGTTCCTAGGTGGCGAGGGGTCTGATCAGATTTTGTTGAGGATAGCCTAGTAGCGTATGTCTAAATTCCTCGCACTGGTAGCACTGTCACATCTTGGGAAAGTAGACCGTGAAATGATACATTTTTTTCACTTTTGATAAGCGGTGCCAAAATGTTTCTTCAGAGATTTACTTCTCCAATTTCTTCACTTCTTTTGTATGATTCTTTCCTTGCTTATTTGTCATTTACTCATCCTCTGTTAGCTTTGCTTGTTGCTCTAAGCTCTTGTAAGTTGTCAAATGGAGAAGCTCCAATTGTTGCCAAATTGATCCCTCAAGTTTTTTTAAAAGACAAAAAAAGATCTTCAGTCAGAATGAATGTTGCCAATGCTGTATTCTGTTCAATAAGATATGCTTTTTTTTCTCTATGTGCACCAGATAGCCTTTCACCTCGAAGGGATTTGTTATTCCTACAAACTGTATCGGTTTGAACGTCAGGAACTGCCTAGCCATTGATCTCTTTACAACTTGGGATTGGTAGTATTATGTGCTCCTCTCTGAGCTTATATGAGTATTTTTAATTTTTTTGTCAATGACATTGGAGTAATCCCAATTGGTTGCATCAAAGTATAGCCATGCCACCATCAAGTGGTGTGTTTCTTCCATTGCTAGCTTCTTCTCTCACATTAGGTGTCTATTGAGTAATATAAGTTCATTTTGTACTTTCTGACCGGGTAATTAATGAATAATGCATGATGATTAAGCACCCTCCTCTTCTACCCATACTCTCTCCATTTAGGCTATACTTTAAGAATGTGAAGCCTTCGCTTTGCTATCAAAATTTGTTAAAACCCAAATAGAATGGCGAATCCGAATTGAATGTCCTGAGTGGATTTGTCAAACATGATTGGTAGAGCTTGACCAAACAAATTAGATTGAATTACCAGGGCTAAACATCCATAAATAATGGCTCAGTTTGCTTATCATAGCTAAATTGACCATTTGGTTCTCTGAATCTAGTAGAAGGGCTAAGTATACTATGTAGTTGAATGTTTAATGATATTTGGTCAATTTTGTAACAACAATGGAGTGTATATTGAAGCATCAGGTAGAGCATTCATCCATCAAAAGAAAGAAGACAATGCTATATTCATAAAAAATTCATACTCAAGGAATTCAACATTATTAGAAACTAAGGCCCATTGACTGACTAAACAATACAAACATCAAGGAAATGATAAAAACAATTGGTTGGGTCTCGTCTGCACCTTCCTTGCCTAGGTTCAACCCAATTGGGAGGTAAAACAACAAGAATATGTAAGATAATGTGTTGAAATTCTTAACATTATAAACAGAAGAACCATATGAAAAGCTTTCAAAATGACCAACGCACAAACAACATGAAAGTTTATTAGATCATCAAAGAAATCTAGTCGGCTTGCCATAAATCTAGTCATGCTATTGCTTTATTGGTTTTTCCTCCAATTTTTTTTTATTGTTGTTGTTGTTGTTGTTGTTGTTGTTATTTTTATTATTTTGCCTGTTGTATTACACTTTTGCATTTAAGTTTATTCTTATTGATTTTTTTTTTTCTTTTGGTTCATCCCAGAGCGTGAAAAAAGTGCCACTAAGGAAGCTATTCCCATTTTAGAAGAGGTTGGTTTTATTTCCGTTGCATTTTTTGTTCATTATAATTGAAATTTGGCATTTGGACTATTGCATTATGCGGAATATGATCCAGTGCCCATCAAAACAATGATATAGGTTATAGAATTATTCTGATGCTCAGGGTGATATAATGCAACTCCTAAAACTCAAAGGATATATAAAAAAAACTAAAGCCATAACAAAAATGACTCCATTTAATGTGAATGTTACATTCCTGTTGTAAGAAAATCCTGTATAGTGCTTATATTGACTCCAATGTTTTTTTTTTTTGGGGTGTTGGTGTTGGGGTTGCATTTTTTTGTGGGGGGGGTTATATATTTAACACCCAAGTTTTACTTTTTTACATTTATACCACCTAAAATCTTTCAAGTCACATCAAAAGTATTACTATTTTTACTTTTAAAAAGTGAAATACACCTTTTCATGCAATATATAAGGTGGCATACAACAACAACAACAAGACTTTTGTCCCGCTAAGTGGGGTCGGCTACATCAATCCTTTTCTCCATTGAGTCCTATTGAGTGACATATTTTCATTTAATTCTAATAGATTAAGATTATTTTTTATACAATAGCCCACGTCTTTTTAGGTCTATCTCTGCCGTTCTTAACATAAGTTGAATCTAAAACATGTACTCCTAACCAGATCATCAGATGGTCGACTTTTAAGGTGAGGAAACCATCTAATACAAAGTTGAATCTTATTGAATAAGGTGCATATATGTACAAAATTTAAGTATAGGTGCTAGATATGTAAATACATAAGAATTGAGCAGTAAGTTTGTAAATACAATAATGCTAACTTTTGCCTTTTCATTGATTTAATCCAGCATATGTCCTCTGTTTGCGTTGATGACTCTGAGAGATCTGACTCATGCGGCAGCAATGTGGTTGCAAAAAGGAGGAAAACTTGTTCTCAGGATGCTGACAATCTTGACAGTTTAGAACAAAATACAGATGCCAATTTATATGCAGTTTCTTGTATTTTACCGCTAAATTTAATAAGTAACGCTTATGGATTTTTCTTCTCTGGTCTAGCAACATAATCCTTGCAGTCTAGAAACTGTAAATTTTGAGGATTAAAGTGCCAAACTAATTAGTCCCTGATTATTTAGATGGTGTCATTTAGGCCCAAAGTCTATAAAGGGTCAAATTTATCATCAGACTCTTTTAATATTGGCTAAAATATCGCTCAGGAAGTACTATTTTATCCACCATTAAAAAACTCTGGGGACTACATTGACACTTTTATATACTAAATAACCCCTTACAAAGAATTAGAGTACTATTTTGACACTTCTAGCAAATTTTGAGCACCAGTAAGCTACACTTATTTTAGTTGCTTCCTTTTCAACAGGTGACAATACAGAAGTGGCCACTTCACCTCCATTTGCAGAAGAAAATGCGAAAAAAAATCCAAATTTATCTTTGGTTAAATTGACGAGGAGTGGATTACTTCTTTTCACTTTGCCTAGTTTAAACTATCAACTTGTCATTGATAAATTGTCAAATATATTTCGTTCCTTGGGCTCTGGACATCAGAAACCACCCATGTAAGTAGACTTTCCATGCTTTTGTTTGATAAAAAAATGATTTATTTGTCAGATAAGATGTTTTGTTTGAAATGAAATTTTTGTTTTTTTGGTTTGTGTTTCTGCTTTGGACTTTATCATTGCTTATAAACATATCTGAATTTGTGATAGTAGTAGTTATGGCATGCCGTTTGATTACTTGTTTGATTCTAATATTATGTTTGATGCATTCCTCCTCTATCTAGGCTCCCCAATTTTAATCTGTCTACATAGTCTGGATGCATTCCTCCTCTATCTAGGCTCCCCAATTTTAGTCTGTCTACATAGTCTGATATATCTGATATATATATATATATATAT